CGATTGAATTTCACTCAATTCTGAAATCTGAGTTTTTCGTCGAAAGTTCGTCAAAAAGTTCAACAGTTTCTAAAGATGTTATGCCGAAAACTGGACAGCTAGCCGAAAATTGGGGATATCGTTGAAAAATTCAACTGGTGTTGAAAAAGTAGCCAAAAAATTCAATCGGTGCCGAAAAATTTCGTCGAATTTTGAAAAATTTTTGAAAATTTTCCAGAACAAAAAAAAACCCAAAAAATTCAAAAAAATTTCTAAAAATTCTAAATTGCCTCTAAACACTTTTTGCTTCTGTTTCACCTCCCTCTTGTGTTTTTTCTATTTTCTGTGTCCCTTCCTACATGTTTCAACATCTATTTATTAGGATTGATCAGAAGAGTTTCTGATTAATTCCAATTCTATTTGAGATTGGGATTCAAACTTTGAATCTAATCTACCAGCCCCCAAATTCACGTCCAAATTCACTTCCATCACTTTTTTTTATTATTTTTAATTAATCTAATCATTATCTCCTAATTAATCAAGAGAAGATAAAATCAATCAAAATAATAATAATGATAATATAAATAATAATATAATAGTAAACAATAAAATAAATAATAAATGGAAAAAATAATAAAAAATAAAATTAAAACAAAATAAAATTAAAACAATAATAATAAAATGGCCCATTTTATCCATTTGGACAATGTCCAATTGATCCGGACCTGGATCAAATTAAGTATTTACAATGTAAAAGAGATTATGATAATTATACAATAATTAATATACGTAAATTTTCTTCAATCAAACAAGTGAATTTGAACATTTGATACCTTAAAAAAAAAATCCTAGATATTATACTTTCCCTAGGAATCCAAGATTTTAGCAAACTAACTTCCTCTTAAAGTAAGTTAATTTCCCGCTGTGTGCTTAGTTTGATTTAAAAATTTTAAGTGAACCTTAAAAAAACAATCTTGCAAATGATGTAGTATGATATAGGCAAAAAAAAAAGAGATGTAGTCTGATTTTTAGTAAGTCAAAGAAACAAGGTTCCAATATCTCATTTACAACAAAATGATACATTTTCAAAAAAATAATTAGATAAGTTTGATATTTTGTTATGATAAAAAAATAAATAAAATTTTTTCCTATGTTTTCTTTTATAACTCATTGTGTCCATAATTTCATTGTAATATTGTTTTAGTGCAGGCGAAAGAATTTTTAACAAAAAAAAAAAAAAACTAGGCTAACACTAGAAACAATTGAAATGTGCGTTCTCCTCAAAAATTGGTTGAATGTCCAATATCACTTACGATAATAAGTTGTATCTGAAAAAAATAATGATTTATGATATATGTTATCTATACTTGTAAATTTTTTTTGAGTTAATTAGTGTTTATAAAATTAATTTATTCATCGTAAAATGTTTCTTCTTTTCTCGTGGGTAGGATTGTACATTCAATTAATTCAGTTAATTTTGAATCAAATTAGTCAAAATCAAATTATATTATTATATTTTTATTAGTCAAACTGAATTTATTGATTTCAAAAATCTAACCTATCAAATTTAATTTTGTTAATTCGATTTATTTTTTAATTAACTGAATAATAAAAAATATTTAAGTTAAATTATATTTTAAATTATTAATTTTCATATTTGAAACACACTAAATAAAATCATTTAACAAAATATTCAAATATAAAAATATTAAGTTAAGTACTCTAATAATTTATGAAATAAAACGGTTCATTTTATGTGTTTTTAATTTTATTTTGAGTTTCTTATATTTCAATTAAAACTTCAATAAATAGGATTAATTCAATTATTATATCACATTAATTAAAAATCAAAATTCCTTCAAAATAATTTTCAATAATCGACCGAACTTGATTAAATGATTAATCGATTAATCAAATTAAATTGATTCAACTGGTTAATTTAATTAAAATCGAAAGATGAACACATTTACCCATAGACATAATCTTTTTAAATTGAACCATGTAAATTATGCATCTAATTTTTTATTTTTTTACTCTTTTTTCATAATTATGACACCAAAATAAAAAATTTATACTATCTATTGAAAGCAATCTACTAAGTGTTTTAATGCTTGACACCTCTAATTTATGCAAGTACCATTTTACTTTTTCTAATATTATAAAATTATTATTTTATTTTTAATTAAAATAAAAAGTAAATTAAATATAAATAATAAAAAATTAAATTATTCAAAAATTAAACAAAAAAAAAAAAAACAGATTTGCAAATAAGATATGAGAAAAACTAGATTTGCCAAAAAAAAATATCTGTAAATTTTTTTAGATTAAATCCAACAATAAAAAAAAAATCAACTCTTTCACAATCAAACTTACCACCTACTCAAAAACTAAAAGAAAGGAAAACAATAAAAAATAGCATTATCCTAGTCAAGAGGAAGCCACACAAAGCACACAATGAAAACATTAAAAAAAGAAATAAAAAAAGGGTTTTGGTTTAAGGTTTTATAGAGGGTTTGAAGCTACCTAATTTGATGATTAGTGAGTAGGGTTTAGAGAAAAAATATATTAAGAGTTAGAGGCATTTTGAATGGTAAAAATGGATTTTTTTAGGTAGGTAGATGATTTGGGATCAAGATCTAGGAAATCTATTAGATTTTTGGAAGAGAAGTGAAACAAGGATAAAAAAAAAAAAAAAAAAAGATTTCATTTTTTTTTAAGAGACTGAAATCTAGGTATATACTGAACTCCAATTATTTTGCTAGAGAGAATGAGAGTTTTTGTGTTTAGAAAAAGAAGATGGTGAAAAATGAAAGTAAAAACTTTGGGTTATTGATAACTATTTGCATCGTAACATTTGCTCGACACACCTCACCATTTTAAACACATCATTTTTTACTCACTACACTTCACATTCAAAACTAAAATTTACTAAAACACCTAAATATCCTATCTCTTCTCCTTCACACCACATCTGTTCTCTTTCTTTCCAACCATAAATCATAAAAATTTGAAATTAAAGTCAAAGGAAAATTCACCTATTTGAATTTAGAAAGCTTATAATTAAAGGTAAATCATTTGTTCTTTGTGTTTTTTTTTTCGTTTTTTTTTATATGATTCGAAACTTCTAAAAATGAATTTTTGGAAGCTCTAAAATATTTTTGAAAATGGATATTTAAAAACCTTTAAGAGCTTTCGAAAATAAAGATATTCGAAAAAAGATTTCCGAAAACTTTTAAAGATTTTGAAAAATGAATGTCCAGAAACCTTTAATAGCTTCAAGAAGTGGATTTTTGAAAATTTTTAAAAGTTTTCGGATATTCATTTTTTAAAATCAATTTATCCAATTATTACCTCTAAATCTTTATTATTGCATTTATTTCTCTCTAAGTTCACTTTCTATTTTGGTAGTATACAATATATTACAAATTTTGATTATAAATTTTGATAATATGATGACTTGTTACTAGGAATAAGAAGAGAAGAAAGCTACTACTAATCTAAAAAAAAAAAAAAAAACGAAAAGAAAAAATGAATGTAAAGGACAAAAAAAAATTGAATAATAAATATTTAAATAATTTTATTAAAAGTTAAATTTATAATAAAAATTTTGGGGTATATTGAGTGGTTATTAAGGTGCAAATAGAACCCTCGTTTATAAAGATGCATAAGACACCTTTTAAGGGGCAGCAAAAAAAAAATCAAAACAAATAAAGAAAGTTGGATCCGCAACCCAACCCATTGAATTTAATTAGATTGGAAGCTGATGTGGGCTTTTAAGCCCATTATAGCTTGGAATTCTTGTTTTTTCATTTTAGGTTTGAGTTTAAAATTTTAGTTTGGTATAATTTTTTTTTTTATTTAATATATTGCTATATTTAATGTTTGTTTAATATTAAATATTTTGAAAATAAATTTATATGTTGATAATAGAGGTTATTTGGACTAAACAATAACAATTTAATTATTTACTAACCCATTTATTATTTATTTATTTTTTAATTTTGTATATAAATTAAATTACTATTTTAGCCTTACTCCTTTAATAAATAGACAACAATAGGTTTTTTAAATAATTAAACAATTAAATGAAAATTTTTATTAAATAAAATTTAATTTTAAATAATTAAAATACTTGATAAAATGTAAATACGTTATTCATTAATTATTATATTTTTATTAAAAAATAAAAATCAAATCATCACATGAGCTAAATAATTATACTTTCTACTAAAATAAATAATTAAATAATTTAAATTTTAAAATAAATAATAATACCAATAGTGAATTGAAAAAAAAAAAAAAGAATTAGCCGTAGCGAGAAGGTCAATTCCAGTACATAAGAAAAAACTAATAGATTTAAAAAAATTATAACGAAAAAAAAAAATACTATTGGGCCGACTTATCCCAACCCAAAACATGCCAGCCATACCAGTCACGGCCCATAACATAACCGAACCAAGGGCAGTGCTGAGCTAAGATTTTGAAAGTTCGTGATTGGCCCGAAGAAGAGCGAGCCAAATATTGGGCCATGCAAGGTTGGACCAACCCGCTAGTTTTCAGACCTCTAAATCAGATGACAATGCTTGTTGTCGAAGCTCAATTACAGTCTGGCTTGAGATGTGCCCTCCATCTTACCGAAGGGGAAAAAAAAAAAACCTTCAATTTTAGACTACATATACAACTTCTGTGCGTAAGGCGACAGTTTTTGCACGTTAAAAGCAAACTTGATATCGTAATTAAAGGTGAAACTGGCTGTGGCTGAAAATAATGGCATGCAATGGTCACCTGCAACCTCAGTCTTTAGGCAAAATGACAAATTTAAAGCCATTCCACAAAACAAATCGATAACCAGATTACAGAAAACTGTACGAGATTCATATTTCTGCATATTCGTTCACAAACTTTTTAACATTAACGCCACAACTATTCTCAACATAATCCACACAAATATTATTCCACAATCCCCATTCAAAATGAAAAGGCATTAATTATATAGTCAACAAAATGTCTATCCCTGATTAGCTGTCCATAAAGACCATCATATGCAAATAACACTCGCCAACAGATTCTAAGACAGCCAGCTGATCGAGTAAAAGCTGCTTCCACCGAGTCCCATGGGCACCAAAAAACTGTGTATGTTTGTTTGAATTTATTTTTAACCTCTTTGTCCATCTCCGAGCCATCCTATTGTCTATTTTCATCACTACAGAATGATGTCAGTGAACTTCTTCCATCCATCATCAATCAAAGTAGTTGAACTTTTACTTCTAAAATGCTATATATACAAAACCCTTTTTTTGCCAATGGGAGCAATTGGACCTGCAGTAAAACATTGCAGAAAATACATTGTAAGTGATAGCTGTATACCAAATAAAACGAAAATACAAAGGAAGAAAGTTTGCTCACACATAACTAGATGATACATTACATTTTGTAAATATAACAATCAACAAAATCTTGCTTGAATTATAAATCCACTCATTCACTGCTTTAGGTTTTCTGATCTTTGTTATTTCTAATACATATAAGGAAGTCCAAGAGGGCCGGGGAGATTTGAACCATGGACCCTATCCCTCATAAGGAGTAACAACTACTAGGCCAAGCCTTGGATGGTTTCTTCTTAATAAAAGAAGACAGGTCCTAAGAAAGTGAGTTTCATAGCATGGCCACCATTTTCTTGCAGAACTTGTGCAGTACGAAAGCAGAGAATAATTGTTAGTTAAAAAAATTCTAAAAGTAACATAGCTTTGCAGGTTGAGAGATGCAAGAATCAAAATATGATCACATTGACTACCTTGTAATAAAATGATTAAAATCGATTCCATTACTTAAATAATAACAATAAGCATTCTTCAGTTAACTAGCAGATGTGCACAAATAAATGAATTTAGAAGATAATGTTTGGTAATGGACAACAATGAAGCAGTGAAAGAATGGTTTCATTTCAATTTATGGACACCATTTCTTGCGCTTAAAAGCTCACCAAATTTAGCATTGAAGAATGAACTAGATCACTATATTAAAACACCAAAAGAAATTAATTAAAGTTGAAAGGAGAGCGTACAAACTTATCAAAATCTATTGACAAAAGAAAATAAACTGAGCAAACACATAATATTGGCAGTAAAGGATCTTAGCAGATGCAAAAACTTGTCTCTAATTGATACACCATGCAAGTAAATTCCAAAACAGTTGCTAGCTCAGCTGATAAATGAAAACAGAAACTATATATATATATATATATATATATTCTTTGTAAACCAATTACCATTGATGTTGTAGGGCTATTCATTTCTAAAATCTTCATAACTCAATCCCTCTGATATGGTGTCCAACCTTCTGTTGTCTCCTACAACCCAAAGACAAAAATGTCAAGCTCTTCATAAAACACAACTAACAAAATTTTGATGTACAATTATTTGGATGGGGAGGCATAGGAGAAAAGAGGATCACCTTGATGTTCTCTTTCACGAGAATCCAGGAAATTCTCATTATCTGTTGCTAAAAAAGGTGACCGGGGGTAGCTCTCCAGTATATCTGAAATTATTAAGAGGTTATCTGAAAGTAAGCATTTCTAGATTTTTTTTTTTTGATCACGTATAGATAAAAATAAATATATCTGAAATTATTAAGAGATTATTCTTAAAATATTGTGATTTTCGTAAATGAATTAACTAATGCTAACTGGACCAAATACTTTCTTATGCATAGGACGTATATTTTAGTTAGTTAACTCATAAAAGACCCCTAAACTCAGCTTTGTCTAGAACAATGCTCAAAATAGACTGTCAACCAAGTCATGGATGCACACACACATGCTTGCATGCAGACAAACATATGTGGCACAGGGCACATGCATGTGCCCACATGAACTGACAGAAAGAGAGAGACCTGAACTCTGAGAAAAGTCAGCTGTGAGATCTGAAAGACTGAAATTGCGAGGGATCTGGCCTAAAAATCCAAATGAAGAAATGTCAGCATCCAGAAGTGGTTCATTCAGTGGTTGTGTGCTTGATTCTACACTACTGAAAGACGCATCCCCAATTGTTGGACGTGCCTCTAGTGCATTGCTCTCAGCACCAAACATGTAAGCAGAACTGCCCGAATAACCAGCTTCAGATTTTAGCATTTTCCCATTTATTCCTTGCATCAGGCCCATGTGTGAACTCTGAGTTGGAAGCATTGCTGCTGGGGGATCAATCCTGCTGGCATGGGTAGGCACCTCAATAGGAGCATGCATTCCAGCATGCAATGATGAACTACCATTAGTGAACACATTAGGCAAACTGGATCCCATGGGATGGTGCATGTTCTCCTGCTTCAAAGCTTGCCCTGTGTTCTCTGGTGCATAGCAGGATGAGTTCAGAGGCACTATAAGAGAAAGCTAAATCAGTTGAAAAAAATTGAAACTTGGAGAAAGCCAAAGCTTGTCTTTCAGATTGTCAGCAACTAAACTTAAGGAACTCAATAATTAGTAATAGTAATATCTATTTTACCAGTACCACCAATGGCGATCTATCAAATTATTAATGAATTGCTACATGCTCAAAAATCAACGAAAAAATGCAAGAAAGAAGATTGGAGAAGTTAATAGACCAAAACAAGGTGAGTAACATAAGAATTTTCCTGCAACTGGTCTCTTTTATCAAAGCGGATAAGGAAAAATAAAGGCTTAAATATAAAAACGCCCTTAAACAAAAATTAAAAATTATCCAAGCCCCTATCATTTTATTACAATCAATTGAGATCTCAAAATTTTATTTTCCTCCAATTGAGCCCTTAAACATCTATTTTCATCCAATTGAACCCTTAAGCATCTATTTTCACCCAATTGAGCCCTCCATTAGATGGAAATGAGTATTGGCACCTTGGCAGTTAACCAATTTTCGTCTAATAAAGGCTCAATTGGTGAAAATAGATGTTTGAGGATTTACGTGATTGCAATAAAATGGTACGGGCTTGGATGATTAGTTAATTTTAGTATAGGAGTTTTTTATGCTTATGCCAAAAATAAATGTATAAGTAATCACCCTGACGTCTATGCCTGCCTATATCAAAATTCCTCATATTGATGCGGAGGAAGCTAAAATGAAGTCTTTATGCATATTGTCAAGCATCAGAGTTAAAGAAGAATGTAGACAAGCCCATTATTTCTTCTCTCTTTATTAGTCTTTACACTTATACTAACAAAAAAAAGCATCAAAATTATCCTCCCTCTTTGATGCTAGAAAAATGTAAAATAATTGTTTATAAATCAAATCTCAACAGAAGAAAAAGCATACTCAGAAAGTGCCAATTCCACAAATTTGGAGCATACCTGAGCAATTAAACAAAAATGTAAATAACATGTCCAACCAGGCAAAAAGCAATCTTACTCAGTGGCACGTGAGGTCCATTAGAATTAGAGATTGAGGAAACTCCAGTTGGATGAATCTGATGCATCAATCGCACCTGTTGCTCAAGTAGCTTGTTGAATTCCATTATTTGTTGCTTCACCATCAATCTCAGATAATAAGCCTGGAAGAATTCTCTATTCTCTTCTTCAAGCTTTTGCCAAACTGAAAGGCATGAAATATTTGTGAAAGGAAATTAAAAAAAAAGAAAACTAATAAAATGTAATGGCTGTAAAGTATTGGCAGACCCAAATGATCAGCAACAATCTATTTATCAGTTGACCAGCAATCCATACCCAACATTAAGTTAAAGCGAGGAACTAAATCAGGTGGTTTTGGACTGTCCAGTCTATAAGCTTCCCTTAAAATGGATTTTTACCACAAGGGCCAGCCAATCCATTGAGAAATGGGTACTGATTGACACCCCTGTTTCTACACAGTGGGAACTACTTTTTTCTTTTTGGTTGGCAGATGGAAGGCAAATCAATGGCTTGGATTTAATGTATCTCTTCTAGTAATTTCTCTAATATGTGAATTATAATAGGCTCTAGCTATAAACTTAGTGGTGTTTCATAAGAATGATGGACAACCAGGACAATCTGTGGATATTATGGCAAAATAAAATGTTTAAACTATCTAATACCAAGTTCAGTAAAACCAGGCTCAATTTTGGCCTGAGCCAGCAGAGTTTCCACAACTTCCTTCTGCGTCATGTAGAGTTGAAGACATCGTTCTATAAGGTTTTGAACCTGAAATCACACAAATAAGAGCAAAAACACCATAAGCCACTTTACACAGCAAACTACCTTTCAGAGCCTACATGCCAAACAAATCTAAGACAGCAGAAACACCTCCATGCACGTACACACACAAAAGGAAGAACAGTATCTGACCTTGTAGAACTAATAGCACACCAAATATACATCTTAATTTTGCTAGAGGTGAAAATAGAAACAGTTGTATGCAGTTTGTGCTGTTTCTCCATTATCCGCTCCTATATTCTTAAGGTATGAATGACTAATACTGTGTCAAGAACTTAATTCCTGATATTCATCAAGGGGGGATAAATGACAGGCAATACTTACAAGTTAGATCAGCTAAAATTATAATTTTTCTCGGTTATCTAAACTTTCCTTAGTAAGCATATAATTGCCACATACAATCAGGAAGAGCATTATAAAGTCAGAAATTCAAGGAAACAGAACCCCAAGACTAAACATTTCTCCAGCGTTCCCACAAGATGGTTGATCCAAGAACACAAAATTCAAAAGCACAACATTTTATTTTTGATATAAACAACTACTAAAAATAAAAAATTGACTGTTTTGCAACAACTTACCAAAGATTTGTTTATCTGTTTTTCCATGTCACCACAGGCTATTGGAAGTTTAGATTCTATGACATAGTCTATGTTTCCTCTAAGATGTTAGCAGTAGGGGAGACCAGCTGGGATTAATTGGAAGGAGAATATATGAAGACTGAGATTAGAGGCTGCTTGTGATTTCTATAGTGAAATAAAAGCAACCCATCTAAAAATTGGATCAAATTAGCTTGGCTATAAGAAATATCAGCAGAGATCTCTAGGCCAGCAAAATTTGTGTCAATTTTCACTTTCTTTAAAGAACTCAACTACCCTCGGTCTTCTGTATCTTTCCACTTTATGGTATAAAGCAAGCTATCTTAAATTCCTCTTTCATCTTTATCTTTGCACACATATGTAATTATTCATTATAAACTTACTAAACATATTTCTTTCTGCTTCTTATAATTTCCATCAAATAGTTCCTTCCTCTAAACATCCTCAAAATTTCAAATTCATATAAACATTAAAAGAATTTCAGAAAATGTGAATTACCAACTAAACAAACACATCTACATAATTGCACTCAATGCACAGCAATGACCTCACTCCACCCTGCTCGGCATTAAGTAACAGTTTTATGCAACAAAATTTAAGTTTTCGTAAAGGAAAAAGGAAAACAATAAAATTAACACTTCAATTTATACATACAACTAAAATTAGTACGTAAGCATACAATTCATTATACACGATCAGTCATTAACTGTATCGATCAAGATCAACATCTTACCAGCTGTATATCTTGACGTGAAACCCTTCTTACTGTTCGAGTTGACATATCTATTACTTGATGCTCCAAACAAAATTAAGATACTAACCTAACACAACAAATTGTCTTCCCAAGATTACCCGAACAACTAGTCAAGCAATCTTGCAGGCAGCTATAAAACTGAGAATATCTACCTGAAAACGTACAGAATTGTCATCAAACACAAAAAGCAAATATTCAAAAATATATAATTTAATATAAGCATACGAAATTCACTCTTGATCCATTTTCATCAATAATTTAACGGCAAATTCTGCACTCCGAAATCATATCTACCAAAAAGGATAAATCCTTCAACAGCAAGAAAAGAAAATAAACTCGACAAACAACAAACTAGATTATTTGATCATATAAACACAAGATTCGGTTAAAAAAATAATAAATTGCCTCAAGTTATCTAATTTCATCGCACTACAAGTTTGAAGTAGTGGTCAACATGAAAACAACATGGTTAAAAGTTTTACAACAGGAATTCTTCTTCTTTTACTTTTCTTTAGAATTGTAAACAAAAGACGATTACAAACGTAAAATAAGGGTAAAAATCGCAGCAGATATGAAATTGAGGAAGTAATTTCATTTCAATTCCCGGCGACATGTAAAGAAACATGCGGTTTTATCGTATAAAAATACGTATTGGATACGTTTCAAGCGTTTGATAAAGCAGTTAAAATTTGTGAAGAACAAGGGGAAAAAATTAGAGCAATGAAAAGAATCGAAGTTTCTCACCTGGGAGGCGATCCGTACAAAACTCAGGTAAGCTGAGAAAATATTGGGAAATGGAGAGAGAAAGAGGGAATTTTGAGAGAAAAAATTACTAAAGGAAGATCATAAAAGGTGATGATTTTATTTATTTTACCTTAAAACGCAGTGGGGAGAAAAAGATTCTTGCGTTTTGGACACTACCCCTTTTTCTCTCTTCCCTTTTTTTTTTTTTTAATTTTTAATTTTTTTAAATCGGCTGTACCACATTATTGTGGCCTCTTGAATTATATTTGGGCTTTTTTTTTATTTAAGTAAACTAATTTATGAAAAATATTGTCTATCAAAAATAATTCCAAATTATTAAAACTTATAAGTTCCTAATTCGAAATCTTGGAATTCAATTTTGAATGGGCAAGATGAATTTGAAATTCTTGCAAAGGATATAATTTATAAAATGAACTGTTATATACTCCATTAATTAAAAAAAAAAAACAATTCTCTAAGATGAGGGCATTAATTAAGATTTGGAGTTTAATTGGAAGATTTTGAATTAAAATTTTGAGTATAAATTTATATCATTTGTGAATAAACAAAAGTTATATTTCTTTGTAATCCAATATCATTTAAACTATTATAAAACCCTTGACTTTGTTGGCATGACGTACATTAAAAAACAAATGTCAATAGTGATAGAAAAGTATTGACAAAAATTTTTCATCGCTAAAATTATCAATGGAACCTAATTAGGGCGAGCCAAAATTCTAAGAATGGCGTCAATTTTTTTCGCTAATACCTTAAATCATTTTTGTATTAAGTAAAATAAATTTTTTTATTTTTTATTAGTGACATAATTTTTGTTGCTAATTCTTTGAAGACATTTTTTATTTTAAGAAAAATAAAATTATTTTTGGAATATTTATTTATTTATTAGTGACAAAATCAACTACAGAATTCTATTGCTAATTCCCTTAAAAAAACAATTTTACTTAAAAAATATTTTTTAAAATCATTTTTTATTAGCGATGAAATTCCATTGCTAATGGTTTATAATTCCTTTGTGTTATCTTTTAATATTAGTGAAGGAATTCCGTTGCTAATGATCAAAATTTCATCACTAAGTGTCGGTAAGATCTTTTAACGATGAAATTTTGATCTATTAGCGATGGATTCTGTCACAATTAGTTAGCTTTTCATTAAAATAGATTTTTAAAATGATAAGAAATTAGCGATGAAAACTTTGTCTTTAAATTCCATCCCTAATGCCTAATCATTTTAAATTTTTCCTCCCTTATTTTTCTTTTTTTTTGCTTCTCTTGTTCCTCTCGACTCTTTTCACCTTCACTGTATAAAGGCCACTTAAGCCAACTCTAGCCACATCCAATTGCCCACATCATCCGCAAATCCAACTAAATCTAACTGAATCCAAATTTAGCCCAAAATCACTCATAAACCTTCTAAAATTGACATAAACCTCCTTCATTCTTTTTTCCCTATTTTTAGGGAACTACTAGTGTTATGTCCTAGGCAAGTACACCATACGTGCCAACTCGAGCACTTGAGGTTGAGGCTTGCGCACTAGGAGCACTAGTGAGAGTTTGCACACTAAGGCTTGGAGAGGATTCCAGACCACCCACACAGCATGCAGGCCAGCCCACACAGCCAAGATCACGCTCGCATGATGCCCACACCATATCTGTGAAAGCCCAAGAGAGGAAGTATGCAAGCAGATCTTCTAAAAGTGCACAAGATCAGCAGTAACCTTTAGCAGGATCTGGTTGACCCTAAAAATCAATAAGTAGATCTTGAATTAATATAATCTATGTAACCCTTAATTGATTATAATTATTTTATTCTAAGGATTTAGCCATAAGTGTAGCTGGAAGCCTCAACTATAAATAGAGGGTCACCCCACCCTTTCTTTGTACATCATCTTACACTTTTACTTCAGTAAAATACAGAGCATATTTCAACAATTCTCTTATTCTTCTGCTTTCTCAAACTTGTTCATTCTGTCCTTTTCATTATTCTAGTACCCACACACTTATGTTTTAGGCTGACTTAGGCTACAAGGAGGTGATTCCAAGCCTACGGTTGCACGGATTTTGAGTCTTAAATTGGAGCCTGTGACACTAGCACCCTTGCCAAATTTTCAACCCCAAATCAAACCTCCCAAAATGCCCTAACTTTTCCCCCATATCTCTTCTAATATTTTATTTTTTTTGTTTTTTTTTATTTTTAATTTTTAAAATTTAAATTTGGGTTATGACTTTAATTTATGTTTTGTTAATGTTTTTTGTTATTTTGGTATTTTGTTTGATTTTTTGATATACATATGTTTATTTTAAATTTGTAAATTTGATTTATGTTTTATGGTTAATATTAGTTTTTTAATTTTTTATTTTGTAGGCTTTAGGATACAACAACAATTTGGTTATTTTGTCTTACGGTTCAACAATACTAGGTAATATCTTTTTCTATTATATTTTTAAATTTTGATTGTCAAACAAAAACTTAGGGTTATTTGAGTAATTTGTGAAATTTGTGTGGATTTATGTAAAATTTATGAAACTTGTGTGGAAGGATTTGAAATTTGTGAGAAATTGATGTTGAATTTGTGTGATTTATAAAGAATTTTAGATAATTATGTGAAATTTGAATAATTTATGTGGATTACGTGAAATTTATTGAATTTGTTGTTTTTTCATACAATTATAAGTCCCTGCATAGAATGGAAAAGAAAAAGATGTTTATTGATTTGTATACTTTAATTTGGAAGCAATAAGAATAATGATTATAGAAATAAGTTTCAGCTCTCTTTAGTAAAATCATTGTTGATGAGTGAAAATAAATATCTTATACAATTATGTTTAATGTTTAATACAGATTAAACATTTGCTACCATATAGGGATGAGAAAAAAATTTGAAACAACCAAAAATCGATTCGAAATCTTAGTGTTTGGTTCGATTTGAATCAATTTTTTCTTATTCAGTTTAAAACAAGGTTATATATTAAATGTATATATTAAGTTCATATCAGATTTCGAATCACGATGTGAAATATTGAAAAAAAAAATCTAATCGAACCAAATTATATTTTCATTAGTTTTTATGTTTTTTAAAATTATTATAAAATAAAAATAATTATTTTATATATGAATCTATTTAAATATATTAAAAATGCTATTAAAATAATATAAAAAATTTAATTTTAAAAACTAATGAATCAAATTGAATTAGTAGAATTCAATTTAGATTTTTAAAAAAAGGTCAATTCAAATTCGGTTTGAATTTTAAAAATGTATAATATGATGCATTATTTGAAAAAATTGATCCCATCTAAACTTTTATCACCTCTACTGCCATTTATATTATAAATCATAATACAAGCATCATGTACAACCAATTGAAGGTATTGTAATTAGATTTTGGTTGAACACTTAGATGTGTTGCATGTATTGAATACTAAAAACTTCATGTATACATTTACTTTTAATCATTCTTACTATTGAAGCGATTGATTTTTTTTATCAATGATTATAAATGTCTATAAATGTTTGTGGATTTATTCAATTATTAAGTAAGGATGTTTATGATGGTTGTGTGATGGATATTATGAATTTATATGAAAATAAATTAAATGTTGAATTCTAGTATATTTTTTAGTTGATTTAAGATTTATATAGATGATTTTCATTGTATTTGTAATTAAAAAAAAGCTAAAAATGAATACGATCGATCTTTTTCAAAGGACGATCAATCCTCTATGAATAGGGATTGCTTATTTATGAATAGATATAGTTATCTAAAATCCTAGAAAAATGTTTTAACAACGAAATTTTATGTCACTAATGGATTTTAACGATTAAAAATCAAAAGGGATCGATCCTCGTTCAAATAAATATTGATCCCCAAATTCCTAAAAATTAATGCGTTGGTAATGGAAATAAATGTTTTAGCGACAAATTTTTATATTTTATTTTTTAAAATATCCAACCTTTAGTAATAGAATTTCTTTCGCTAATTGGTTTTTGCAACAAAATTATATATTTTATTTTTTAAATATTTTAAAAAATAATCTTTAACAATGAAAATTTCATTACTAATTTTTTTTAGCAAAAAAATTTTAATTTTTGTTTCTGAAAATTTAGTTAAAATTATAATTACTTTTAGCGTCGACAATGATCCTCTCATTACCGATGAAATAATTATTAACAACAAACTACTTTTACCTATTTTACACTTTTCGACGAACTTTTTGTCACAAAATTTTCACTGCTAAAACCTTTTTTCCTTTTGATAAAAGGGGTTTAAATTTCTATCAAAAACTTCTGTCGCTAAAATTCTGTTTTTTATAATGGAATCAAATGACATCAACTTAACCAAAAAATTTACCCAAAGACTAAATATTTTAAAATTTATAAAAATAATTGAAAATTTTACACAAAGACTAAATTTTCAAAAAATTATAAAATTGAAATTAAGGATTAATATATATGCCATTTTGAAAAAAATATATTTAAAAAAAAACCTACTTAATTCTTTTAAGGATTAATATTATGAATGATTTAAAAATTATAGTGAAATATTCAATATGATATATAAATTTTAAAAATATCTAAATTAGTACTTGAATTATGAATTTATTAATTATTATGATATGTTAGAGAGCTATTTGTTGTCACGTATCATCATTTAAACCTAACTACATTAAGAGTGAATACTATATTAATTAACAGATTTATAATTTAGATACCACATTATAGATTTTTAAAATTTAAATAGCAATTGATTTTTTAATTATAATTTGAAACCATTGCTAACATTAATATTTAAAAAAAAAAACTATCACATTTTAATCCGTTAACTTTTCCTTTTTTAAATATATATATATTTTAAAAAAAACCCACATATTGGGTGAGCAAATTCTAATAGCATGTAAAAGAAAAAAATAAATTTATTTATATTTCATTACATGAAATTAAATAAGAAAAATACTATTTAGCTCAATATTTTTGTTTCACTTTTATGGTAATAAGTTATCTGTTTTATTGTAATAGTACATTAGTTGATTTACTCATGAATTGATGGATTCACATTTGAATTTATAATTGGTATAATAATTTTGACTTTGTCTAATAATAATCTAACATATAACATCTACAATGAAAGTTATA